TCGCCGAGTAGCTGGTGAACGCCATGGTGCCCTCGCCCCAGTTGCCCTGCCCTGTGCACGTCAGGGAGGACGCGGGGGACAGCGTTTGGCGCTGCTCAGTTGTGTAGGGAAAGCTCAGGAGGGCGTTTCTAAGGACACACCCACAGTGCCCTACGGGGTGGGCCAGGACTGCTATCAGGGGCCGGCTGTGTTGGGGGTCGAGACCAAAATAAAACGCTGTGGAAGTGACGGAGGACTGGGTTTCATGTGTCTTGTCTGGGGCCAGTCCTCGTCCCTGTGTTCTCTACTGCCCTTTGGAGTGCTGGCTTCCTCTGAGGAGGGGCAGGCCCAAGGCCGTGGGCCTGGCACAGTCCAGGAACAATAGGGGTCCAGGTGGCGAAGTGGAGGAAGCGGGTGGCAGGACAGGCCTTCCGGCCCAGCAGGGACTTGGCTTTACTCCCAGACTGAGTGGAACCTCTCAGAGGGACCTCCCATTCGAACTCCTCCTGGCTGCTGGGCTGAGGAGACAGGTTGGGGGAGCTATGACCATACCTATAGGAGATGGGTATCTTTGAAGGTGGAGCTGTGAGAATTCAGGGATGAGATAGCCAATGGGGTTTGAGGGGTGCAAGAGCTGTTCTGTGTGCTGCATCTGTGAGGGGGAGCACGCTTGGGGTGACCCCTACCCTGGTTGGGCCTTCCCGGATCTGCTCACTTCCCACCTGCTCCCCGGCCTTAGCTCCTGCAACAGCCTGTGCCCCTGGCTGGTTCCTGAGGCCTTAAAGCTCCAACCACTTAAGTGGTGGTGTCTTGGCCACCCCTGGGCACAGACCCACTGCCATCAGGCCTCCTGTGAAGAGAGCTGTGGCGCCACCTCCTGGCTGGCCACTGGGAGGGATGGGCCATGGGGACCTTGGCCTTGGCACTTGGGCTGGTGAGGTGGAGGCAGGAGCCACGATGCTGTCAACAGTGGGCCCTGAAGGCAGAGGCCAGAGCTTAGCTTTGCTGGCACAGAAAACAGTAACCGGACTGCTAGGGAGCAGTCAGTCATGGAGTTATTGTTAGGGTAGCAGAAAGGGGAACACATTCGGTCAGTTGAGTAAAAGGGGAAATGGGCGGGTGGAGGTACCAGGATTCTGCAGACAGTGCAATGAACCTGAAGTACAACTGGCCTGCGTGGCGGCCAAGACACACCTGGCCACTGCCTGCCTTGCCCACCTGCCAGCACACAGCTAGGCCCAGGGGGACAGCCGACCAGAGCTGATGGGTCCCCAAGTGCCTGGGCCACTCCCCCTGCCCAGCTCACAGTGCACCACTGAGCAGGTCACGGTGTCCTCCCCCATGCCTCCCAGCCCCCCTTCCAGCCCAGGAGCTGTCCCAGGCCCTGAGGTCTCCCAGGAGGAGGGAGGATCCTCTGGCTCCAGATCTACCCTTGGGCAGGCTCCCTCAGCCCCTTCCCTCCAAACACACCCCTCCCTGACCATCTATCCTGTCACCACCTGACGGCTGCAGCTCTGGCTGGAAAGGCACCTCTCCGGCACCCCAAACCTTCTCCAGTCTCCGCCTCCAGGCGCTGGTAGTCCCCACCATCTCCTGTTCACGCAGCAGGAGCTGAGGGTTGCACCCTAGTTCTGCACTCACCCACCATATGATGGTGGGTGAGGACCCACTGTACAAGGGCAGCAGAGTCGGCCTCAACCTCGACAGACCCTCCTTGGAAGGCCCTTGCCACTGACGATGCTCAGGAAATGAGACTTTTCTAAGCATTGCCCTGGAAGGGAACAGAGGAGGCATCCAGCCCCAGCCCGGCTGGCGGGCAGGGACGTGAGAAAGGGACCTGCCTCAGCGGGCCTGAAGATCCCCCTGAAGAGCCCCACCAGGGTGAGAGGGATTTAGCACCAGCTGGGCCAACCCTGCACCCCTCGGCTTCAGCCATAAGTTGGGGGAGCCAGGGAGGGGCCGGCGGGCACCCGTGGATGACATTCCCCAGCCACTGAAAGGCACCGAGATGCCCACTGGGGGCTCGGCCGCCTGGACAAATGGCCCTGGGTGCAGTGGGGTTGTCTGTCTCTGGGCTTCGGGGAATCAGGCCCACAGAATCGCCTTCCCTCCCCTCGGGCCTCGGTGACCCCTTGGCACACTCCAGAGGCCTGCCCAAGGAGCGGGGTCCAGGTCGCCTGTCACCGCCCTGGCCACAGCAGGCGCACCCCCTAACCTTCCGTGTGGGGGCCCAGGCCCCTGTCCCACCCCAAGGGTACCCCGTTGTTTCTTCCAGCGGCAGGTGGCGCTCCTGCAGGATGTTCTCAGGATCCCGGTCACGCCGCGGAGGGAGGGGCGGCTCGGGCCCGCGCGCGTGGACCCGAAGGGGGGGGGAGTGGTTCGGCCCCGCCCCGCGCGCCCCCGGCCGGCCGGCGCGCGCTCCCGGGAGGCGGCGGCAGCATCAGAGGCATCTGCAGGAGCCCTGGCGGGCTCGGGCGGGCCGGCGGGACAGACAGACGGACAGAGGGCGCCGAGGGCGCGCGGCCCGGCTCAGCCGGCCATGGAGGGCGCCTCGTTCGGCGCGGGCCGCGCAGGGGCAGCCCTGGACCCCGTGAGCTTCGCGAAGCGGCCCCAGACCCTACTGCGGGTGGCGTCCTGGGTGAGTAGCCCCAGCCCCAGGCCCCTCAGCGACCCTGGCCTTCATCCACATCCTCATCCTCGCTACGGCCCCTCCCCCGCCAGCCGCAGGTTGGGGTGACGTCACCGGGCCGGGCGCGCCCACCTGCGGGCGGGGGAGGGGTCGGCGAGGCCTGCCCGGGACCTTGAGAGGTCACCGCCGGCTTCCCCCAGCCCTGCAGTCCCCCTTCCTCAATCCCTGCTCCGTTTCTCATCTCCCCACGACCTGGACACGGGCACACCGTGGAGGTGGGGGACGCGGAGGGGTTCGGCGCCAGCCCCAGGCGGAGGAGGGGACTGCGGGAACCGAGAGGGATCTGGGAGGGCCTCCCCCACCCACCCCGCGCCCACCCAGAGTCCGAGTTCCTTCAGAGCTGGAGGGTCCTGCCCAGGCCCCCCCCAGATGCATCTGGGAGTTGGGAGGAGCTCCGCTGCTCCCTCTGGGTGGGGCAGCCAAAGGGGATCTGCATTAGGAGGACTTCCTGGAGGTGGTGTGGGAGGGGCCTCTCTAAATTAGGTGGCTTGCCCTTCTTCTTACCCCTCCAGGCAGGGGAGGTGGGGCGGGTGTCCACTACTGGGCTTGTTGCCCGCAGCCACCGACCGGTGGTCGT